CAATGAAATGCTGACCCAGCATAAAACATGATCTAAAGGCTAGCAACACTTAATGGTACTGAAGCCTACATTGAAGCACATTACTTGCACAGGCTGTAGAGCAGGAGGCCTTATCTACCCCACACCTGCCCAATACTTACACCCTCTCCACACTGATGCCAAGTTCATTAGCTGCCAGCACCGTAAAGTACTCATAGCTGTCCAGAACAGATTTGTCATGGCTTTTTGCTAACACTTCTATCTTCTTATACAGGATGTCTGCTTCATCAGTGGTGCTTATCTGTACATAGAAAAAATAAACGATTCTAAAACAAGTTTATGGTGTCCAGTTGTCTTCACTTGCCAGCAGTATAAGGTAAAGGAGAACTCAGCAGTATTGTCTACATCTAAGCTGAGTACATATATCCCGCGTGTCATTTATGTTATAACATTCTGTTTATGGTATCCGTGTGTGGAGGAACTCTACATACTGGAAAGGGCACAAACAGCACTCCCCAGTAATCTTAAAAGGAACACTGTATTGAAAGTTAAACATTAGACTCTGAGATGCATACAACAATGAAAGCCTACCTGCTCAGTCCTGCAGCTTTTTATTCAGCCATTAGTGAGGTGATCTGGAAACATCTTTGCTTGTCTGTGTGCAATGCAGGAGAGGTATCCCTAAATACACCCATTGCAGGTTCCTTGCATACAGAAAGCCCGATTTGCAAAGTTGCTTATAGACATAAAGCAGATACAACCTGCTTTGGAGATTTGTATCTGGCTGGTGACAACACAGATTCAGGAAGCAGACCCACCCAAAACTGTCTGCAAATGATTGCCGTATAGTAAACAGAAACCTGCACCAACATATATGAAGGCTGGCACAGTTGATCTTATGAAAATGCTGGTTACCTGGCTGTCTTTGGCTTCAATACTTTGAGTCACGGACTCTAAAACAGCAAGTCACGTCAAACCTTCTGCTCTGTATATTTGTTCTAGAACTAGAAGGTGGTAATCAGTGACAGTCTACATACAGTATTCCAATACAGGTTTACTTTAAAAGTGGCACTAAATCCAATAATGACCCAAGACAGTAGTTCCTCTGCACACAGCACAGGGTGGGGGTCTGTGTTCATTAGGTGCTACTGACTGGATGCTTGGACAAAGGCAGCCAACCAGTAACACTTCCTGCACAGTTCTCACCCCGTGGCGCAGTGCTGGTTTTGAAGCAGGGTTTTTTTAAAAAAGAAATTAGAAAGGTAATGGAAGATAGGGGAAGAACTTTAAATTGAGTTTTACCTGTAAAACAACAATTTGCAAGCAGGAAGTTTGTTTGTTTTAAATTGCAGAAGGTATACTGGCAGGCAGGCAGCACACTCACCATTGCAGAACTGGAAGAAGGAGGTTGTGTCATAAGGACTGGGGAATATGTCCTCCATGCTGGCCAATCTGGAAATTCTCCCTGTGTTCAGCAGCCCCCTCCTAGCTCCGGCCTGCAGACTACCGAGGGACTGCTGCCCAATTCTCTTGATCAACAGCTTCCCTCTTCCGGGAGACACCCCACCATACACAAATGATTAACCCTTCCCCAACACTCAAACTCTACACTGCTGTCTGCACACTAACTCCACCTCCTACCCACCCCAGGGCTGACATCATGAGGTCCTGTATGATGCTGCACTGGGGCCAGTCCCGGTATGTAGGATTGCCTGTACCCCCCATCAGCAGTCCTGTCTTCCAGGTTCCGGGATGAATTTTGCAGGAATTACTTCAGCCTGGACCAACCAATCAAGAGGTGAAATATGCCGAACTCAGGAGAAAACTGGGTGAAGATGTTGGTTAGGGAGAGGAAGCTTGTGGAGATTGTATTGCTGGTAAAGAAAGCAGAACTATACTGATCGAAGTGCATTTAGGCAAATCTTAGGTAAACTGAGAGAACTTTTTGTCTAGCACAACTGTAGGAGTTTGGTGGATAGCATTAAAGGTTCTCTGTCTGCTTTCAGTAAGTATCTTGGGATTATTCTTTAACCCCTTTATGACTTCATAAGTCCCAATGTAAATTGCCCCTTGCCATGAGAATATGAATTAACCTTGCAGCACAGAACTAGAAATGTACAACTGTGCGTGTTCAGAGTTCTCAGACCTGCTGTCAATCAGAAAAATTAGACATATTCATAAGTTAACTGATGCACACTTAGGGTGCCCACACACCTTACGATAATCGTACGATAATCGCGGGAAATCCAGCGATCGTACGATTATTGTAAGGTGTGTGGAAGCCGTGCGACCTCTACTACATGTTTGAAAACCCGCCGAGCATCGTACGATGTTCGGCGGGTGTGTAGCATGTTCGTAAGATAAAAGCCCGTTCGGCATTGCGGTCATCGGAAGCCCGCCCCTCAGGGGGGCGTGGCTTGCAATCATCGCAAGTACAATCTGCCTGTCCAAGATAGGCAGATCGTTCGCTTTTTTTAATTACCTTACAACCATCGCAAGACAAAAGTCTTGCAATGGTTGTAAGGTGTGTGCCTAGCATTACACTGCTAAACTTTGATCTGGGCATCGAAACGTAAAAAAAACATGGTCACGAAAGGGTTCAACTAAACCTGTAAAAGACAAATATGGGAAACTTCTTGAATATTCTAGCTGCTTCCGTCTTCAGTAATGTCTACGTCTCTGACCAGGAACAAGCACGCAGCAAGCAAAAATCCCAAAGTCTGTACTACTGGTATGCATATTTGTTTCAGGTCAGTGACCCTAAAAGTAAAAATAGGCTACCTGCAATTTTAACTGAATTCAGGCTGCATATATTTTCAGTACATGTTTTCCTTAAAGCAGAATGGACACAGACAACAGATGTCATCTAGTTTGCATAGAAAGACTGAAGTAGGTTATACACTGTGCAAATTTCATCAAGAACCATCTGAAATGCCCGCCAGCACCCTTCCGTCCAGCATCCCTAGATTAGCTGATCAAAGGAGCAGGTTGGAAAAAGTTTGGCCGAATGGAGCTTGCAGCTAATCACCCCATTGGTGTGAATAGGCCCGTATAAAATTTACATACTAATGCTGGCTATCGATGCAAATGTTTTACAATTAAAATTGCAAACAGAACATAAAACATACTTTTGGTTAAAAAAAAGAAATGCTAGTGTACCATAAAAGTTTTACATATAGCAGACTCAGTGGAAACAGCTTGGTGACTGGCTCATCAGACTACCCCACATACACAGCATGCTGCTTCAATCATTATAGTCTGTGAAAAATGTGAAATCTGCGCTTATGGAAGGGTTAAGTGTTAAAGCTGCTGCGCTATAGTTTTTAACGACAATGAAATAATGAGTGTGCAGCGCTGCACACTCATTATTTCATAATCGTTATAGTTTGCCTGTTATAGTCTGCCTGTTATAGTCTGCCTGTTATAGTCTGCCTGTTATAGTCTGCCTGTTATAGTCTGCCTGTTTGCAGTATTCAAGGGCTCTCAAATCAATGCATTTCAGTGCACATTTCTGGCACCCTCTAATCCCACTGCAGCCATGCCTAGACATACTAAAGTATAAACTGGGTGATGCACAATACAAAATGACACTGTTAAAATAAAACTGCCATTCCATTTATCCTAAAGCCAGCTATAATTTTCGCTAAGTGCCACAAAAAGAGGCCGCAGTATGTTTCCTAATACTATTTCTTAAAGCTAGACTCCCTGTTCCTTTAACTAGCGCATTGTCCTAGAAGTTTGCAGAAAGCTTGAGATCCATTAACAGCAAGACTTTTGCCATCCCCAGGTTTTTGCCACTACATCTTTAGAAGGAAACGTTAAAGCCTACAGAAATGCCAGGGTTTCCATTACAACATGATCAGGTGCTTGCTGCGTACTCTGTAGCTACAGTACAGAAACATCTGTAAAAAATAAGTCAAGGCAACTGGATTAGCTGTATTTTTCAAGAAAAATACAGCTAGTCCAGTTGCCTTGACTTATTTTTTTACAGATATACCATGACCTTGATGAATGAGAACCTTCACAGACAGATGCATTTGCTCTGATGTAAGAAATCTTGACCTTTTTTCCCCACGAGAAGTTATTAAATACAAACATGTGAATGGAACCTAAATCAAAACCCACATGTTAAAGTTGTCTCCCCCCGCAAATAAGTATAGCAAAGTCTGGGTAGGAGCTCAGGACAATATATTTATAATAAGATGTGATTTGATCACTAATGGCTCATTCACATGGATGCAGAGGTCTATACATTGTAAATAAACTGCCTGGATCTCTGCACACAGCAGCCACATGTGTTGCATGCATCCTGCCTGCACAAATCAATGACAGGCTGCAACTGTATGCGGGTATATTTACATGACACTGCCCATGGACATGGCCCATGCCCGTCTGTGTCCATGGACATATATCTCTAGCTGTACACAAGTACCGGTACATGCTCGGAGCAGGCGTCTACCAACATACATCATGTCCTTGGTTTGTACCGACAGGCTGAATGCAACATCTGTAGTTCCGGGACGCAGAGATCATGCAGTTTTTCACTATGTACGGAACTCTGCAGCCGCGTGCAAGAGCCTTTTTTTGGGGGGCTTCTTGAGTAAGGAATTAGGGAACGCACAGAGTGTGTGCATGACTACTGAGCCTGACATTAGCCCTAAAGGACTCCAGGCAGATTACAAATTAACCCTTGCAGTGGGGCTATCCTTCCACTGCAAGGGTTGAGTTCTCGTTTTGGTTCAGGGCCTAAAATAGAAAAGATAAGCTCACCCGATCCTCGGGCCCATCTGGTGAGACTGGTCCCCAGTGGTCTAAGTCTCGCTGATGTCCTCACGTTTAAGTCAAGTGCATTCAGTTGCATTGGACGTGAGGATGCCGAGGGACATATCACTCACATGGAGCGGAGGGGGAGAGAGGTGAGCGGTCACCTCGCCAGGATCAAGGATCGGATGAGTAGATCTTTTTTTATTTTAGACCCTGGACAAAAATGAGCATTTTGCCTTTGCAGGGTAGGGGTAGCTCCAATGCAAGGGTTAATTTGTCTGGAGATCTTCTTTTAGACTATGGAGCCTGACATGAGCCCGACGAACGCTCTACAAAACGCTCAAAAATATAAATCCCATTGTATTCAATGGTCTCGTTCCCACCTTGGCGTATTTCCGCCCGTCCCTAACGCGCTAGAAAACGGCCCACGCCTGAAAAGGTACAGGTACTACTTTGGGCCATTTTGTTGCGCGTTTCCATTGGGATACAGCCAAGCAGCCTTCGAAAAAACGCGCGACGGCCGTGCAACTTTTTTACCGCGAATCGCGGTAAAAAACGCGCGACAGACGCGCATATGCAATACGCCTAGGTGTGAACGAGACCTAAGACTACACAGCGTGATATCGGAAACCAGTGCAGCAGAAGTGCTCATTGCATGCAAAGATGTTCTGACAAAATGCCTATCTCCCTGTTCTATGAACAAACCTTTCATTGCACATGCCCTGCCCCTGTACAGTGATGTCCCACAGCTAAGAAAATCTCTTGTTTCACATTAGCCGTGTATTGTCCACCGCAAGGGAATGGCGCTTACCAGCTTCTGGACTCTGGACGGTATGTCAGTTGTTTGGGGGACAGCCGGCTGCACACTTACAGCAGTGCTCGTATTCCTGTTTACAAAGAGAAGAGTCAGCTGGAAACACATTGCAGAGAAGATGACACCACACAACATAATTTTTCATCCTGCTGGCTACATTTCTAGGCATCAGTTTTGGATGGCCTGACTAACCTACTTGTACTGTGAAGAGACTTATCTGCATTCCTCTATATGAATAAAAAGAACATCTGAACTCTGGCATAAGCAAATATTGTCTACACACAAGAGCCGTGTGTATTCTTACTTGGATCTTGGTGTGATTTGTGGCTCTGTGCAGGAACTTCCTGTAATAAAGACTGGTCACTGCTACTCTCCTTGTGCACGTTGACTGGTCTTGTCTCCGCCCCCTCCTTTAGTTTTCTGCAGGCAGCCTGTAGTGGGTGGAGCCTGCTGGGTCCCTCCCACAGCTCTGCTCTCTGCACAGTCTATGTACAGCATGGGGATGATGTTGCCACTACTTTCCCAAGGAAATAACTGGGTTTGCAAAGGCAATTGGTGCACACAAAGTGAATGTATAACCTTTGTGGTAATTGCGGAATGTATTAAATGAAACCTTTTGGGCCCGGAGTTCAGCTTTAAGGGACCCAAAATAGGAAATCCATTTCAAGGAGACAGAATACATTCAATTAGGAAATGATTATTACTTGAGACTCAGCGCCTCATAAAATAGAACTCCACCAGCTTTGTTTACAGCAACAATGTAGCAGTCTATTCAGTTAGGCTGACTGCACTGACCCATAACAAACATACTTTCATGTCTTCAGGTTCCTAAGAATGCGTGTTCCTACAACTTCCATTTACGTAGTCTGGTTAAACTGACAATTTAGAATACTTACGCAACATGTCGATATGTCTGTGTAATGGCACATGCACAAGGCGATGGTCTTGTTCTGAGCACCTGCAACACAAGTGCACAATAAGGAATGCTTTATATTTTCACATCTCTGGTGCAGTGAAGTGCTTGAGAAACCCCATAAAAAAATATGATGAGATCTGTGCCATTATAGTTAATGCCATTGTTCCATACACATACCTCCACTTTAGTTTTTGGCAGCAGTAGATGAAAGGAACTTGGTTGAATAATACAATAGGAGCGAGTTATTGAAGCTAAAATAAAAGTTTGGCCATAGTTCCCTTTTAAGAAAAGCCCCACTGTGTCACTCTTACTGTCTGAGAGCCGTATGCCTGGAAGTCCGGTGACCTCTCAATAGTGCAGCTGTTATGCAGAGCAATACTGGTCACCGATCACTCTGATTATGTAGCGCCTGCCTTAAACCTGCTAAGACACTATCAGCTGCCTCTTCTACATGATCTGACCTGGTTTTTTTAAAAGGTATTTTACAGTTTAAACAACAAACACATACTGATAGCTTTCAGCTTTAAAGCAACACTCACACAGAAGAGTCTAAGAATTCTTTATTTTTCTTATAAGAATTCACACCAGCACAGTCCATTGTGGTGCCTTGTTGTGCATTGTGTTAGGCCAGAACCATTCATGTGAATGGGCTGCCTAATGCATGTCAACAGAACAACAATTGTGCATGCAGCATTTTCAAGAGGGCACTGCACTTGCACTATAGTTCATTGTTGCACACTGCGCTGGAAAAGTGAGGTGCCATTTAGAATAAATGGACTGGATTGTGGTAACATCTGGTACCTCATCACACTGATATAAATGGGTTCTTATTGGCAGTGCCCTGCAATAGAATAAGTATTATACTCACCTCTCCAGGGGCCCATTTCTCCTCTGTCTGCTCTGCAGTCTCCCTCAGATGAATCTAATAGAGCAGACACAGTAGACACTGGCCGCGGACGAGGGGACTATAATACCTCTTCGATTGCAGGGAGCTGTCATCTGGGTTCCTAGAGCGAGACTGACACAGATGGTGACCGGTCACTCTAGTCCTCCAGTACACAGGTAATGGTGCTCGGTATATCTGACTGTCTGTGGCTGCATAGGCCATAGAGGACATTTGCAGGGACAGAGCTCGGGGATAGCAGGGTACAGGCACACGTGGTTTAGACTCTGTGGAGAGGGGGCTTTGGGCTGCTTATACAAACATACATAGAATCATCGCTCTGCGTTGTGCTCGGCGCCTCCATTACCTGACAGCGGGCCACATCCCGGACACTGCGGCTCAGAAGGGCAAATCCCCTACAAGCGTTCATTTTCCCCTCTGTGTGGCTCAGTACTAACTTCCGTCGCGCATCATGACGACATCACCACGGAGCTGTCAAACTTCTGGCGTCCACGGTGGCGCAGGATATTGACGTTCGATAGCCCAGAGGCGACTGATGTCAAAACACGAGGGCGGCCATTTTTGTTTTGGATCAAAGGCTAGGTTTAGCTAAGTTTACTTTATAGTTTGGGATGGAGTGTAAAAGGATTAGAACAACGAGCGGGTTGTATTGTATGTGTCGTCTCTGCAGAATGTCTCTCTCTCTCTTCTTTTCCTGGTGACTTTTGTTACAAGTAAAGCAAGTGAAGTGATATCTACTGTAAAGTCTGCATTATCCGGCATTCAAGCAACCAGCACTCTCAAGCAAACTGGGGAAAAAAATCAGACATAATATTTCCTCGATTTTTTTTTTTTCTGATAGCCATGTGAACACTAAAACATTTGGTTAGCAACTACATTTATTTAGTTGCTAATGAAATTCTCTGCTGGCTGGCGGCTAGATTCCACAGTCCGCAGCCGAATGTAAACAATGGGGCGCAATACCTAGACTGCTTTTGGCTATTTCCATTTGCAATAGCCAATAGCAGGCTGACTATTGCACCCGCCCACTGAGCAGAGGAGCGGTTCTCTCTCAGGTCCACTCCTTTGCTCAGTGGGCGGGTGAAATAGCCTGCTATTGGCTATTGCAATTTAAAATAGCCAATAGCAGTCTGACTATTGCTCCCGCCCACTGCCCGCTGCTTCCATTCACCTGTCGGCTGCGGAATCTAGCCGGCAGTTGAATGGGGCAGCGGAGTTGCTTTAGAGATATTAACTCTCAAGCAACCAGAAACAACAGTTATCCGGCATCTAGCGATCCCCATGGGATCTGGGAGTTTGCTGTATTTTGGTTGTCACAAGAACTGGGATAGAGGCGGAATCTTTCAATGGGAACACCTGTTCCTGTAACAACTGTCTTGGAGGGAATCTCTAATCATTTTGCATATATTTCCTGTCACTTCCTGTTGTGTTTCCAGGATAGAAAGGCAAATAAAAGAACATGCTATTAGTTTAAAGCCTCATTCACATGAGAAAAGGCCCGGCACGTACAGCTCTGTGCTGCGTGCACGGCGGTATCGGGCAGTTCCCGGGAAGGACAGGTGCTGCGTGTGATTAGTATGCAGCCTCTGTCCTCTATGGCGCCCTACGCTCACCTTAAGTGCAGGTCCGTGCGGGTGTCCCGGCTCAGACGCAGACAGGATCCATTCTGTCAGTGTACGAGTACGGACACCCGCCACGGACGTGCAGGGTGGGTGAGTGTAGGGGGGCGTATGGCCGCATATTCCCATAGAGAAGGACACCTGTCCTTCCCGCGAGCGGCCTGATACGGCCGTGCACGCAGCACAGAGCTGTACGTGCACGCAGCACAGAGCTGTACGTGCCGGCTTTTTCTCGTGTGAATGAGGCCTAACCCTTACGCATTCTATAAATAATTGGCTTTAGATATACTTGAGTTGTATCAAATTGAGAAGGCAGCTGCGGTGATCACATATATGATAGTATTAGCCTAAGTTCCTATCCCACAGCCCACGTGCGGCCCTTTGGTACTTATCATGTGGCCTTTGGGCTCCAGCAGCCAGTAGCGGGTACATTGATTTGTAAAGGGACTGTGATGACAGTGATGCCTAGCAGTCTAATTTAACAATTCCCAATCTTTAATGGTTTTCTGCAGCATCCATCCATCCTCCCACCACACCTGTAGCATGTCCTCGGTGTCTGACCATCTCAGATAATCCTCTGTAGTATTGGGCATTATATGCAACCACCTGGGGATGCCAGGGGTCATGGCAAATGTATCTGTATCTAGTTAGTTGACCACCACTGGGGTCTGTTTATCAAAGTTTTCACCTGGGAGTCACACAACTTTCCCCCAAGATTCAACCAAAGAAGATTCTGTTAGAATATAGTGAATATTGAGTGAAAGGTCTGTGAATCTTGGGTGAAAACATTCATAAATAGACCCCTGACCCCTGTCATAACTGGGAAGGTTATAACACGATTAGCCTGAGATTCTACAAATAAAAAAATCAAATTTTTTTTTTGCCTTGGAAAGTACCTCCAGAAAGTGTCACTTCCCTAGCACAGCCCCCTTCCTCTTTTTACGTCATAGAACTCTGCTGTTATGAGGGTGTCTACAGCCAGGCAGCTGGTATTTTCAGAAAGTGGTCAGCAGTGGCAGCAGCCTTCGTATATCCCTGCTCTGAAAATCAAAAATATTTGTGGCCATTGTCTGTCTGAAATAATGCCTTCTAACTAATTTCTTCATTCAAATCTGCCTGGTCTCCCCCCATTAGACCAAGCCTAGTAAAAGTGATTTTATACCATGCACGGAGTCAGTAAAATATTTAAAATGCTGGCAGTGATGGTTGGTATTACAGCATACGGGCCTTCCTGACCATCTCGTCCTAAATTGTATTGTAACTGATATTTTATATTATAACTCTGAATAATAATAATAATATTTGGATCAGTAAGTCACCCATCTGGCTTGTTTTTTTTCCATCTTTGCAGAGAAGTTTTTTTACTCCTGAGATTATTCACTTTCTATATTTTGTACTTTAGTGTTTGCTGTGCCATTACCGCCACCTGGAGGCCAAAGTGGGAATTGCAGCAGCTAAGCATTACATCAAAGGAAGGAAACATCCTGCGCTATCCTGGAAATCAGGGCTTATTGCAGGCAGAGGCAAACAAGGCCGTCGCATAGAGCGCCACCAGCTGGAGAGAGTGGTAGAGTGCAGTGAGAAAGCAGAAATCTTACATTTACAGCCCATTTCCAGCCAAAACGTTTTTTGGACAGTGCAGAGATGGAGTGGGGTGAAGGTGGTTGAGTGTTTAGATCAGGGTTCCATTGCAATCTGTGTCCCTGTTGCAAAGGTTTTTCCCTTGCATCTTGCCAGGATAAAAAGTGATAGGAAGCTTGTTCAACAGAGTCACCAAAAACCAATGTATTTTTCCTTACGCCAATATGGCGGCATACATGTGGTAGTATGCTGCAATAGCTTGGCACCAGGAAAGGAAAATTGCAGTTAAGTGTGACACAGTTTTCTGTTTTTCTGCCTACTCTTCATGACAGCACAGTACGGGTCAGCATTGTCCCCTTCACCAAAGTATGCGGTCAAAAGGATTAGCCAGGAATGGAAAATGACAGTAAGTATTGAAAACAATTTTCCATAATTTAATAGGATAGTACCATCCTGTCCCAGTGTCAACTTCTACTCCATTACTTGTAAGGTTGTACAGGGAGTGGAAGAATATCTCCCCAATGGGGTCATAGACAAAAATAAAATCCATACGTATATTGTAGCTCTTCCCCTCTCCAGCCAGAGCTATAGCCCTATGGGAGGACACGCTGTACACTGTCCTCCGCGCGGGTACAGGTGTCTGCACTTGGACGCAGACAGGATGGGTCCTGTCTGCATCCATGTGTGGACACCTGTACCCGCACTGATGTGCAGTTCGGGTTTCCGCATTACAACCGTACAGCCGTGTCCTCCCATAGGGAAGAACAGGCTGCTGCGCGCAATCAGACGCAGCATCTGTCTCTCCCGGGATCGGCTGTTTACAGGCGTGCACACAGCACGGACGTGTACGCCCAGTGTGAATGAGGCCTAAAGCTTGCTATACACATGGACGTTTCCACCACTTTCCATCCATCAGGAATTGTGCATACAATCGCAAAGTAAACACCTAATACAAAGCAGTCTACCCACCAGCAGTTTGACTGAATAGCAGAATTTGCACTCAGTGGGGGACATGTGTCAATTCTGTTACACAGTGAGACAATGCTAAACAGGAGCAGTGAGACTGATTATGCAACAGATTTATTTTAAGGTTCCAGCTTGAGTCATTCATTCCTCCCACTTCAAAGTAGCCCTGCGACAGAATCAAACCTGACCACTTCTTAATTGAGTGTCTGTTTAGAGCAGGGGTAGACAACCTTGCCACTCCATCTAAAATAAAACTACAAATTACATCATGGATCTGCTTCCAGGAGACATGCCTGTGGCTGTGAGAGTCTTGCAGTGCATTATGGGACTTGCAGTCCCACAAAAGCTGCAGTGCCTAGGTTGCCTACCTTTGGGTTAGAGTAAAAATTTGACTCATCTTCAGTAATAAATCTGTCTCAGAACTTTGCAAACTTATCACACTTGGCTGCAGAGGAATACCGGAGCCAATACACTGTAAACCTGACGCAGAGACTTTGCTAAGTGAGAGGCAGCCTGATGTGTGTCTAACTGTGTTGGTAATTTGCTCGATAAATGTCCCACAGTGAATTGTTGTATAAGCAAGAGGCAGGGCTATCCCTATAGTGGGGCAGCCTATGGCGGTTTCCCTCAGACAGCATCTCATCGGGTCACATGTGCCTTCCGCCTCCTTTCCGGCCAGAGCGTCCCAGGTTGGCACTCTGGACAGCTTCCTGCGCAGCTCCTGGCAACCAGTCACGTCAGTGAGCTGGGCGGGATGACAGACGGAAGTACCATGCAACCGCCCCAAGTAATGTGCATCAAAAAACATTGCCCTCCCGGTAACGTGTGGAACCTACACCCCCTAGTAACATGCACTGTTGCTGTTGCAGAATTACCCTCACTTCCTGTCTGGTAGTAAAAACCCATCAAGAGCTGTAAGCCTTCCTCACTCTATCCAAAACTAATTACAAACAGTTTTGGCTTGAAACACTCTAATTGAAATGGAGAAAAGTGAGGTCACCAATCAAACCGTGCTGGCTTTGCCAAGCTCATAAGACTGGCTGAACAGAATCAGCCATCTTTTGGCGGGAAATACATTCCACATATACTGTATGTATGTCAGTCATGCAGACATCCCAACCTGAAAAACCCATTTCAGGGAGGAGAACTTCAGGTCCTCCCATTCTGATTGACAGCACCAGTGGGTGGGGGCAATAGCCTGCCTGCTATTTCCTATTGCAATTTGAAAAGGCCAATAGCAGCCTAGCTATTCATTCCCCTGCTATCTGTTGTTTTATTTTGTTTT